GCACATCTTGTAGTGACGGATCAAGCACGTGCGCTCAGACACACATGTGCGCATGTGAGTGTGCGTGGGGCACGCTCGTACGTGCACTCGGACACACGTGTGCATATGTGAGTGTGCGTGGGGCACGCTCGCACGTGCGTGTCATGCGTTACATGTGTGAACCGGGCTGAACCGGATGGGAACCGACGGTTCCACTCTAGAACCGGATGGGAACCGGCGGTTCCACTCTAGAATCGGGCGGTTCCCGGTTTTTGGTTGGAACCGGCACAGGCAAGCATGTTTTCGAGTCGAACTGGGCGAGTCCGGTTCGATTCGCCGTTTTTAAAACACTGGTTTGAACAATAAGCACATCTTGTAGTGATGGATCAAGTAACGATAAACTCGATCATAAATCATGATCGACACATATTGTAGTGACGGATCAAGTAACGATAAACTCGATCATAAACCATGATCGAGTAACAAAAAACTTGATTATCAGACGAGATCGAGTAACGGAAAATTTGATCATCAAACATGATCGAGTAATGGAAAACTCGATCATTAGACTAAATTGAGTAACATAAACTCGATCATTAGAAAAGATTAGATCAAGGTGGTTGGCAAGGCTGGCTGGGGAGGTTTTAGACAGATCTGGACCAAAGATCAAGATCCAAAGGCAAAAATAGGTAGAGAGGTGGTAGAGAGATATATCAAAGAGTCGAACCATGACTCGATGGTTGTTTTGCTTTGTAGATATTGCAGATCGATTGTTTTCAAAGGTGGATTTAGAGGCAGATCAGTATGAAAATATATGCGAATACTTAGATCTTGCTTGGATACAAATACCCGGATCTGGCTTTCACCAGAAATTGTGAAAGGAGTTGCAAAAGCAGCCATGGCAGAAGCCACCAAGGCCCCCGATCTCTTCATCTTTCTCTATGGCAAAGAACAACACAAATATGGAAAGAAGCACGGCTTAAACTCGAAATCTGTTGGGGTTGGCCTGCGCGGGTTCGACGGACCCTAGAAAACACATCATGAAGACCTTCGCAATGGGTAACATTGCAAACTTCATGCTTGCTAACACATCCTGAGTACTAAATTCAATAAATCACGTGAGCCACCAAAATCTCTTGAAAAGAAAACCTACAAATCTTAAAAAGTCAAAGAACAAGTATCAAAAAGTCAAAGAATTCCCACTCTCTCTCTCCTTTATCTCTCTTGAAGTCTGAAAGAGAGAAGCCAAAGTGATGAAAGAGAGAGAGCTTCATTTGCTCAAATAGTGGAGAATATATTTGCTCTCTCCTTTCTGGTTAAAGATGGACAGGCTGCAATATGAAGCAAAACTCGGCAACATCAGGGAGGGTGCGGCAGCCGTTAGACAGAGAGTCACAATCATCAGAGAAACTGAAAACAGAGGCTCGATGCTTGAGAAACGAAATACCAAATCGTGAACCTTCTTATGATATCATGTTACAAACTGTATTTTTGCATATTTTAGAAATTGTATTTATGTATATTTGAGCATTAAGCCCCCATAAAAGATTATTGTATTTCTGTATATTTTAGAAACTGTATTATGTATATTTGAGTATTAAGCCCCTATAAAAGATTATTTCATAATATTGCATAGAACTCTCACTTTATTGATTAATAAAAATATATAAAGACCCTATATAAAATATTCAGAGAATTCTCATTTTATTGATTAATAAAAAATATACAAAGACCCTATATACGGCTAGTAATAGTTATGGATACATACATATCAGCATATATGTATTCATAATGATGTATATCAATACTAACATGAGATATTCATATCCATACTAATATGTATCAGTAAGATATGCATCAGTAATGATGTATATGGAGATTGTAGCTCTTTTCTCTTTTATTTTGCTTTTTGATGGATTGTTAAGACTTGATGACAATGAAGATGGCTTTGTTATTTGGTGGATAAAAAAAAATAAAAATGTATGAGTATTTTCTCTGTGGATTTAGTGTTGGTTATGGGTTTGGGTTCTGGGTTCAAAATTACCCATATGATACAGTTCTGAGTACGTTCAATTTGGACCCATTAGGTATGAGTCCGGGTCCGGATCTGGCGTGACCCAACCCGTTGTCACCCCTACTACTAACTCCCTTATTTAGTAAAATTAATCTTGACAATGGATTATCTATTGTTTATCTATCTTAAATGATTTGAGGCAAACCTATAGGCAGTTTTATATGTAAATTTATCTTTTTGAAGAGCCGTTATAACAATTTTACACGTAAGTTTATATTTTAAAAAAACTCTTTTCACTTTATTCAAAGTACTTTATTGAAAATCACATTGTTAGCCAAAAATAGCTAAAAAGATAAATAATTAAATAATATTACACCGTAGTACTTATAAAACAACTAACACAATAATATTACATGTAGTATATCCAAAGAGAATGAAAATCGAGAATTTTTTTTGCATGAACATAATTTTGCCATTGTCGTAATAGTTTCTTCTCTACCCAAAGAAGAAAATTTATATAAGGGGTCAACCTTATGCTATTAAAGTGAGACAACTCAAAAACTCATTCAAAAGGTGGTTATGATTTTAGAAAACCCTGAAATTGATCATCTCGATCTCGACCTCAAAATGTATGGATTTGATAAAAAAAAATGCAAACTCATAAAGAATAAACCTTGTAATGCATTATTTGGACCTTTCGTTATCAATGTTTTTGTTAGATTATAAATCTGCAGAATATGCAATATTTATACAACTTTAATTTTGATAATTAGGAGTCATCTCAAGAATTTCGAGGAATTAAACTGCATCTTTTAGCATAAGGTGAGATTTCTCTCCTCAAATTAGTGTCACAAAATCAATTTTATCTTCTTCCAAGGCTAAATAGTAAAACCTTCTTTAAATATTTGATTAAATCATATATTTGGATAGTAGAGGCCTAGAAACTAAAAAATATAAACCCAATTCATATTTTTACTGCGACCCAAATCATACTTGGGATTATATATGACCATATTTACCTTTGATACTCACCATTACTTACAAATATCCAATGTAAAGTCTAATAGCATGGGTGTATCACAAAGTTTGAGAACATTATTTTGAAGTTTGAGCTTGGTCAATGGAATAAAAGTAGTCATGTAATTTTACATCCAATTGTAAAGATTAATTGTGACCTCCTTGTACAAAATATAAGTGTTCTCATTATATACTTTTCTTTCATATTTTTACTGCACAGAGATAAAGTATTTCCTTCCATTACTATGCTCCTACAGGGGCACATAATCTTTTCTCTAAACCTTAGAAAACTGAAATATATGGAGAAGAAACAATCAAATAATACACACGAGTGGTGGTACATCATAAATGTTCATAATGCTCGTTCCTAGTCCTCTAATCCAAGGATAAAAATATTAATGAAAAGGCCAATTTAATTGACAAAACGAAAAGGCCAATTTAAATTAACTACGGATACACCTCAAAAATCCATTTTAAAAGGTAGTTTTAATGTTAAAAAACCTTTTGATTGATCATCTCGACTTCGAGATGTATGGCCATAAAAAATAAAAAGATTTTAAGCCTCATAAATAGTGCAGTTTACAACATATTATCTACACCATCCATTTTCAAGATTTTCATATGTTTATAAATCTACTTGATTTTAACCATTTTTAAAATTTTATAATTAGATATAAAAATAAATTTTGAAATAATCTCAAAAACAATTTTCATCAAAATTATATACCATTATAAAATTTGAACGTGCACCTTACCTGTACAGCTACGATTGCATCCGTACGTCAACTGCACCCTTAACAAAAAAAAGCTTCATGTAAAGGACCTATTTAAAAAAGAATTTAATTGTTAAAAGATATTCACCTTACCTGTACAGCTACGATTGCATCCGTACCTCAACTGCACCCTTGACAAAAAAAAGCTTCATCTAAAGGACCTATTTAAAAAAGAATTTAATTGTTAAAAGATATTTTACTCCTTCGGGAGTGTGGTGTTCATTTACTCTACCCAACTAAGATTAATTTTTGTACCTCTGTAACATTTAGATTAAGCCCAATTAAGTTTTAAACTAAATAAATAAAAATAAAAATATATTTTAATGCTATCATAAGATCTCAACAAATAAAAATAAAAATATATTTTAAAGCTAATCTCAACAAATAAAAATAAAAATATATTTTAAAGCTATCATAAAACTCTCAACGACTTTTCTCGACACTATTAATGCACACATTTAAAAAAGGACACGAAAAAGTTAATTATTGAAAGATACTCCAATCCCTCAAGAGTGTAGTGTTCATTTATTCCCTCCAGTAAAACCCAACTAAGATTATTTTTCTGACTGCAAATTTTAAAAATATAACCTCTGTAACATATAGATTAACCTCAATAAATTTTTTTTCCTAATTACACCTTCTAAGCACTTGAAAAGAAAATGTCCCAAAATTAAATAAAAATTGTCTAATATTTAAGGGGTAGGATCTAAGTGTTAGAAAACTTAACTTGGATTTTTATTTTTTGAGAATAATAATAATCTAACGACTCTAAGGTGATTACCAAAAAATTTAGATTGAAGATATTCTTCTAGGTCATCTTAACGAGGGAGTAGAAGTAACTATGCTCCTGAGGGAGCATAGTATACGCGTTCTTCGAAAAGGCTTCAAAGGGTAATTTTTGTTTTGGGTGACTATAAGGACTTTTTCCATTTAGAAAACCGGACAAACGGCGGGGGACTCGTTGTCCACATAGCGATCACAAATCCCACCTGCCCTTTTCCGGCGCTCTATTCCGGCTTTCTGGGCCACATTCCGGCGACTTTTCGTCGTTAGCCGGTGAAATGGAGGCGCCTCTCCTGGAACACTCTGCATTTTCCGGCGAAGATTATCCGGCGATCACTAATTGTCGGCAAGCCAGAGCCCTCTTTGGGTCGGAATCTCGCAAGCTATGGACAATCGCGGCTCCCATTATATTCAATACGCTGTGCTTTTTTGCCCTAGGTTCGACTACGCAGATGTTTGTTGGCCATTTAGGGAACCTGGAATTAGCAGGGGTGGCCATTTCTTCATCCGTTATCTCCACATTCACCTTCGGATTCATGGTAAATGCCTCTTTTCAGCATTTGTTTCTGGATTTTAAAGGTTTTCCCCAGTTTTTTTATCTGAGTTCTTAGAAGTAGGAGTAATAGGAGAGCTTGTGGTTCTCCACTGGGATTTTGGCCAGATTCTAATTTCCGGCGTGTTTTTGGCCGGAATGCGATTTCTTGCGGTTTGATGCATTGCCTGAAAGAAAAAGGGAATTTTGTTTGGAGTTGTTAGAGCTTGGAAAGTTTTTAGTGAATTCAGTATTGGAGATGAGAGTTTGCGAAATTTGGGCCGGAAATTTCAGCATTTCCGACCATTGGCTGAAGTTTCCGGCAATGTTTTTTGTGGTTTTGGGCGATTTCTTTGACTTTCTTTGGTTTTCTTGTAGTTTCTGGCGTTTTTTATGCTTTTTTGGTTATTTTTTAGACCATTTTTTTTCTTGGTTTTCTTTAAGCATAACTTGTTTAACAGTTCCCAGCTTTTATGGTTGTTTTAATACATTTTTTAGATTTAATTTACGAAATAAGGGCCTACTTTTTCGTTTTTCCAGTTAGGTTTTGAGTTATTTATTTGTAAAGATTGTGATAATAGATTACCTGAAAAAACAAATGGAAAATCTATCGTATATCACCTGATTTTTTTTTAAAATATTATTTTTCCTGATTACGTTGTGCTATCTTAGTATTTGTTTCTTGTTTATTGGAGTTATATGTACACACGAATTTCTCACTCTATTTGCTAAACTTTTTTTTTTTTTTTTGAGCAGTATTTGCTGAATATTTACTCATTAAAAAGTCGCGAATTGCTGAACCATTTCCTGAAGTTTCACGCATTTTCTCACCGAACTTTTACTCATTTCGACTTTTGAAGTTTTCGTGACGGTTTAACAGTTTTATGATACTCCAGTGCCGGGAATAGACTGCCTCTTGTCACTACAGGCCCGGCCCAGCCTTGACGGGTCCAAAAAGTCCCGGGCCCTAGTCCTATTGAGGCCAGGCCTGTCAGGCTGAATAAAATAAAAAAATAACAAAATAAAACAAAATGAACGGAAAGAGGGCTGGGCCGAAACACGCTGGCTATCTGGCCCGGCTGTATCTTCGGGACACATTTAGTGGCTTAGACCCTCCACGTTTATTTATTTTTTGCAACAAAAACTAACCCTAACAAATTGTTTATTATATCTCAATCCAAAATTGTTAGTAACTATATTTTAGTATTTTTTTAATCCCTATCTATCTCGTCCTTCCCTGTTTTCACTT